GCTTTCTGATCAATGGCTCACAAGGAGTAAATACTGATGACATCTTTGCGCAATGTGTGTAATACCTTTCATGTTTACATGAAATAAAACTGTTTTATCAGTGTCATGGTTTATATTATTTTTTTATCTCATGGTGAAACTAGATTTGAGACCCAGAGAACATTGTAAAACCATAACCCAGCATGTCCACCACACCCAATACTAGTCATGTATCAGAGTGTCATAGTATCATAACGTTATCATGATGCAGATGCGTCTGATTACAGTGTCGGACAGTTTTCTCTTTCAGCACACAGCAGTTATCTCTCGGAACCACAGCATGAAGTCATATTTGAGATATTGATCAGAAGATTTATTGTTTATGGAGGTTTACTAGGAGTTCATGTAACCTTTGCTATATCATGATGTCTCAAGGCTGCTAACAGGAAATTTCTTCTAATTTTCATCATTTATCGTTTCAACTTGAAGATGAACTGATTAGATTTCAGTGAGGGGTGAAGACGGAAACTGGTAGGTGGAGGCATTCAACGACAGAGCAGTCATTCTAGTTGTATTACCAATAATTGAATCCACTCACAGATGTGGATGAAATGTTTTAGTCAAATTTGAGAAAGTGAATAAAGACACTTAAGTAGTGCGGCCCAATAAATTAAAAAAGCTGCTGTGATTTAAGATATTTATACGATGCAATGTTTATACTACCCATCAATGCCCCACCTGAAAACTTTAATTTGTTGTTTAATGTATTAAACTAATAAAACTAGTTTCATCACTTCCTCTGTCAGAGCGATGCAGATTGAGCTCTGACAGTCTAATATGATGCAACTTATATCTATGTAGCACTTTTAAAAACAGGGTTTCAAAGTGATTTGACAGACAAATCCCCCTGCTACTGGGTTTTGATAATATTTTTGTATACAAATCATTCTAATATATGCTATATAAATAATACAGGGCTGTGTGTACAGCTCCTGGTCACAAGGTGGCAGCATTGCTTCATATGACTCCCTCTGATGAGCAAAAGGGCCCAGAAGGATTCAAGTGAAGGGCTCAAAGGGAAAACATGATCAAAGTTCACTGAGGATAGAATTTGAGTTCTCTGTGTCATATTAATTGTTTATTGATTTCTCTGATCAGAAATTAGAATCCTGAATAAAGTGCAGAGAGGAGAGAGAGCAGCAGTCACCGTCTGAATAAATGAGGACATGAGTCTTCTCGCTGGCATAAAGAGATAAAGTTGCCTCGGAGCAGCTCCATCATGACATCATCCTGACTCGAGGCCAGTCCTCAAAGAGCAGAATGATTCTCTGATGATCTCATTGTTCTCCAGTTTAGCTAATGACCCGTCCTCTGCCATAGATTGATTGTTGAAGTTTTTTTTATCACGGCTTATTTTCTCCCAGTGCTACAGACTCATCAGCGCATGGATCTGTGGAAATATCAGATTCATCACTTCGTTCTAAAAAGACATTTTTACATCTGCTTTGGAAGCAGGATGACAAAAAGGGCAAAGGCAGAGGAGTGGGTTCATATTTGGTTTCATGAAGACGGTGACATCATGCGTCATTTGTTGTGTCAACACTATTTATACCACACAGCAGAGTTTCCTTCTCTTTATGAGCTTCATTAATGCGGAATATATGAAGTGTAGACAGGAAGGTCATAAAAGGACGAGGACGAGCAGGGTGTGGGACTCACTGGGGAAACTCCTCACATGTAGACATGGATGTTTGAATAAGGCCTCTTGTATGTGTATGACATTTCAGAGCTACTTGGAACAACTTACTCTACATGTGTGTGGTTACGTCACTTTGTGTTTAGGGATTTTGCTCGACTGCTGTCACTTGTTCAGTTACTTTACTTTTCTGCTCTGCAAATCCAACACGTGCAGATAAATTTAAGTTTTGATGTTTGTTGATTTGATTTCTACTTTGTCGAGTACATTTTACATGAGAAATAAAAATGTACTTTACTCTGAAGTACTTGTTTTGCTTTGCCTTCATATCTGTACATTAAGTATCGGGCGATTAGTTTAGCTTAAAAAGGTTAAAAAGTCTGCCTACTTTCACCTCTACAACTAAAATACACACACACACACACACTGAAACTATTCTCAGTTGAACTTCACACCGATCACAAAACTCATAAAATCCCTAATTGTTGTTTATACACCTCTCTACATAAAGATGGATGACATGAAAGCTCCCCAAAAAGTGAAGCCAAATGATCCTGATTGCCCCCTGGTGGCTGGTTTCAGTAGAGGTCATTAACTCTGCCTCCTCCATGATAGTGGATGGGAAGTACACCTCAAGTGAACTCTTCTCAAAGATTGGTTCTGTCATTTTAGATAGTGATGTTTGTCCGGTGAGTTTGGTGTAAATTGGTTATTTGATGCTTTAAAAACAGGGTGAAACATCCTGATTGACAGCTGAGACACGCAAGGTTGGTCGAGCGTGCGTATCAGCAGGAAATCGATACCGTGGCTCCATCCCAGTTTGCATCTGGCACCAAATGAGGCCGAAAGTGCATGTGATTCCTTTATCTGGGACATTTTGGCTTCATTTTTCTGGGCTGGGGAAGAAGAGAGACATCGTCGATCTTTATATACACGTGAGCCAACTCAGAGACATGACCATCGAAACAGTCTTCTCATGCAAATCACAGCAAGGTACTAAAGTAGTGAATTTCTGGAATGTTGAACTGGTCCTTTAAAGAAAGCCTAACTCAGTATAAATGGTATCGTTTGCTATATATCATCACATCACCCGCTCCTAGACATGCTCATGTACCTCATGGCCTTGTGGGTATTGTGACAGATTACCCGCACGACCACAGGCTTGGTGATGGTGCATTGCGCTCTCATGGTGCGCAGCCTGTGAGCAAAAATACTTAATACTCCGTGGCACGATGATTTATTCTGCAATGCTACTGCATGATGGTGAAGTGCGTCATTGCACAGAGCGCGGCTGATCCAATCTGCCCGCTGGCGCTTCACAGATATTATCAACTATCCACACCGCGATCCATCCTGCAGCCGCAAATCCCCCAAAACCAAAAATACACAGTTAAAATTATAAACACTATATTTAGTTTGTCAAGCGAGGTGGGAGGAAAACGGCATTCTGTAATCAGCTGTGTGCCGTTTAAGTCAAATGAGGCTT